CCTGAACCCAAATACCTAGGTACATATTTACTGTTGAAGGATCTCCCTCATGAGACTTCTCAGTTGCAAAGACCAGGTTCAGGTCAGTCTTTTGTCTTACTCAGTATCTACATTCAGTTATTAGGAGAGGTGCGTGATGTTGATGAAAGATTAGTAAATGGAGTGCTTGTATAGAAAATACATGAGAGATTGAGGAAGAAACTGGATTCACTGTAATCAGGAGTTTAAAATATGGGGGAGCATGGTGACCCCTTCCTTTCTTGCTAAGTCACAACAAACCCAGTTCTATACCAGATCCCCATTCGAGAGAATCTAGATCTATCTGTCACCCATCCAGTTTATCTTGGTGGGATCCTAGCTCAGCTAGGGTAAAAATTTAAGTCGTGTAGAAAGTATTGTGAGGTTTTTGCTAGCTTTTAATTTTATTAGGTATAATGTAGATCACTAAACTTTCCCAACTTTTAAAATTATGATTAAACTGTGTAATACAAAATGTAGCTGCTGTCTTCCTTCTTCATCTGCCTGTTCAAAAGAAGGCTCTGACTACCTTTCATATTTTGGCAGGCAAAGAAGCATTAAATCACTTACAGATGCTTTGCAGCAAATTGGTCTCTTGTTAGTATTTTGGAAGCAACAGTGATCATGTTCAATAGATTGTAGTTGACTGAGAAAGCACTACTATTTCCAATATTATAATTATGCTGTAATCACAAATGCGGTGTCTGTAGAAGCAATGCCCAAATGAAAAAATGTCAATCAACCTCATTCCACCACAGCAGTCCATATGTGTATAACACCCCCTGTTGTGCTCCATTTGCAGGTGTAATTGATCTGTAATTTTGAAAATCTATCTTTGGTTTTTTAGTATTAGATGGTTTGAAAGATGCTATATAATTTATAGGGCTGTCAAATGCTTTAAAAATTTGATTGCAATTAGTTGCATGATTAAAAGAATAATCACAATAGATTGCTGTTTTAATCGCACAGAACTCAAAGTTATGCTCAGAAAAACACAAAATTATGCA